CCTGGGACCAAGCCCCTGGACCATCTGATAGTAGATTTGTTCTGGCAGAATTGAAAAATAAAAATGGATTTCAAAACTTATGGGATAATAAGTGTTTCTTTTAAAAACAGATTAAGCTGGCCAGGGAGAAGGGGATCCCCACAACTTCTTCCAAATTTTGCAATGTATGACAGTATGAAAGAAAGTTTGTGGGACTGGAGTATTTATACTAGAGATTACAGTTGAGGAAATTTTACTGTGCTGTAAGTAGCTTTTCTCTCTTTTTTTTTTTGAGGACAATCCAATAATTTAGGGAATTTTAGGTTGGAAATTAAGTTGCTGAGTTTTTTTCTTCTGATTATTATTCATACAGAGATATATTGATCACACTAGCCTTTAAAAAAATAAACGTTTTAATTTTTATGAATAAATTTATTTAAACTTCAGCCAGGACACTTGCATGTACTTTTCAAGCAGATTTACTTTTTTGCATAAAGTAAAAATGTTTACCATGGTATTGCTGATATTTTATCATTATCACAACTTGCATGAAAAATAGGATACTGCTGTTAACACCCATGGCTTGCTCTTATGATATTGGGCCAGTATAGTGAGGATTTTATTACCATACTCAGTTTCTTCTCCACTTCATCAGTTAACAGAAATTGAATTCCTTTTGTAAGCTGCCAAAGTCTGAAAATTCAAAAACTCTCAAGACCTCTTTTTACAAGGTCTGTGGAAAAATGTATTTTTCTCATGGTAATCTTCAGTCTGGCACCAATATAAGAAGTCTGACAGATGCAACTTTTTGCATACTTTACACATGATCGATTTGTGCAGAACACAATATGTTCCATGTTTTTAAACAGCCTAAAAATTAATGATGTATGTGTTACATGTAATTGAATACAAAGGAAGTAATTTTAACTCCTTGTATTGCATCCAGGGATGGTAGTTCTCAGATTTAAGCAATGTGACTAGTTAAGTACAAACCACAGTTCGGTGAACAGCAAAAGCTTTTGATAGTTTTGTCAAAAGCAACACATTTCTGTTTGGAATTCACCTGACCCCTCTCTCCCGTTTACTTGCAAAAATATGTTTTCAATGAGGTAGAGCCGTCCATAAGTGAACTGCTGCTTAAGCTTTAACTCCCAGTTCAGTCAACAGTCTCTTGTGAAGAAATATTCTTTCTGACTTGTAAACTTTTAAAATGCTGCTGAATTCCATTTCTTCTAAGAAATTCCTACAAGTGATAACTGGCTCTGTAATGTCATGTCAAATTTCTACAGTGTTGTTTTTTGAAATGTTATGACTTTGTTTGTTTCACAAAAATTTTCAATTTGGTAATGTTTGAGTGCCAAGAAATGAACTTGATTTGTAATCCTTAATGCAAATCTTTAAAAATCTTTGCTGTAACAATCTTGCTATTAAATAAACAGTTAATACACAAAATTATCCCAGACATAACATTTGGAATGGACTTCAGTTCAGGTGGCAGGACTTGCATCTCTCACAAGTTAATAGCTTATCTACCTATATTTGTCCAGGCTTATGTATGTTTGCACTTGCCCTCATGCAATTCTACATTGTTAGTTCTTGTGTAGTTGCATAAGTAATAGTGTAGACAGGCTGCTAGTGACTATTAATGGTTTTTAAACAATCTGTTATTGAGAATTGAACTAAAAGACTTAAAATGCTACTGTTACTACTACCATTAAAAGAAATTATGGGGAAACTATGGAAAAAAGCCTAATAAAGGCAGCAATTGAAAATTCCTAGATTACACTAATGTTTTACAAATATCTTTTAGTCCACCTATTAAACTTGAAATACTTTTATCATCAATGCATAAATTTCAGCTAGCTTAACTTGTGATCCAGTAAAACACACAATCATGGGGGGGAAAAAAACCACTGTAGCCAAGTTTAGATTAGTAAATGTTTGACATTAATACCTGACCTATGTGGTATTACTGTAAATAAAACATAGGTATGCCTCTGTGAACAGTTTGTCAATAAATTACTTGGGGGGTTTTGTAGTCAATTTCAAATTTCACTTAGATGGGTAAAGGAGTGTCTGTGCTTCAAACCATATTCTGAAGTAAACTTATGTAAAACTCTGCTTTCTGGAGGATTGACTTTGAAAGATGCAGATTGAATACTGCAAACTCAGCTTTATGGAATACAGCAGGGGAGACAACGCACCAGTCTGTTGTGGCCCTGCTGGTAACTTGAATTATGAGTATTTGTCATTTTTCCACAGTTAAATACTTTAGGCATGATAGTGATTGCTAGTGTTTTTTCTAGGTACTGAAGATCTTGAGTGCATCTGCTTTTTAACTTGTGCTTTGAGGTGAGAGCTAGATGATTAATACTTCCAAGTGTAAGAAACAGAGTAGACCACCTGAATATGGTTTTATGCCCAGTGACACTGTTTAACTAGTGAAGGTGCTTTCATGCTGATAGCTCCCTTCCAGTTTACTTGCTGCATGCCCTTTTACCTCTTTGTTGCTAGCTGCTATAGTATGTTAAATTCAAGTCCTCCAGTTCTTGCTGTCCCTAGATCCTGTACAGATGTTTCTCTTGTTTGTGTTTATCTATCTGGCCTAAATAATTACTCTTCTAATTGCACTTCTGAATCACACATTTGTAGACATGTTAAAAACTTTAGTATTAGTTACTATTTGTTTACATTTGAACAAGCTGTGTCTCTGGTTACCTGAACGTACCTGTTTTGGAGTATATGAGAAACAAGGCTAAGAAAGAAAACTCTGGGTTTTGGTTGTCCTTCTCAGCCTAAGTGTTCAAACACTCAGTTTTGATACCCTGTACAGTCATGAAAAGTAGTGGTTGTGTCCAGCTGTTTCATTGGAAAGAGTCAGGGAAGGGTCCGAGTTGCTAGGAGTTGGTCAAAAGGAAGCATGGACTAAATTTCTTGCAGTTTATGGATCTTATTAAAAACCTTGTATGCAAAGAATTTATTTCCCTTTTTTATTTTGTACTTGTAAAAAATAAATAAAATCCTTTGAATACTTGATCGAAGTGGGTGCTAATGTTTTTTTTTAAAAAAAGCTGAAAATTGTGGATATATGTGCATCTGCACCATTTAGAGGTGAAGGAAAAAAGGGCAGGGGAGAGATCAGACATGAAACATGACTTACTGTACTCCTCGGGAGTAAGTTCCTGCAACCAGAAAGTAACTGTCACATCTGATCTGTTGTATTTCTCTGGAGGTTAACATGGGTGTGTACTGGTATATTTTGTTCCCAGGTGCATGTTTCTGTATTGCTATAATGCTTTTGGCATTTAAGGAACAAGGCAGCTATATTAAGTGGATGAATTTAACCTCTTCTTCCCTTCTATCCTTTTAACATCAAAGTTGTGACTTTTCCTCCATATGCTTTCTCTAGGATAGTGTTGATCATTACCGCAGCTTAAGACAAAGTAACCAACACCACAAACTGGTTCTGAGAACTAATAGGGTATGTAAAGCTTTTTTTTTTTTTTTGAGGTAAAAATTACTACTTTTCATTTTTCTTTAAGGGGTTAGGATAAAGAGATCTCATTGTCGGGCAAATACATGGGATCTTGAAACTGAAATTAATATTGATATAACTCCAGGTGGCAACTTAATGAAAGTGCTACCATATTACAGTTTAATAATCTGAAGAAACTGCACTGTATAAGCAGCAAGCCACTATAATTTATTACTGCTTCAATCTTGATTGACAGGACAAATAAAGCCAACATTAAGTTGATCACATCAAGTTAAAAACCACCCACCTAAAAAAACCAACAGAACCTCCCTATGTAACTCCAGAATAGCTGGATTCTTGAGATTTACTAACATTCTCTGTAATTTCCCACTTTTCATAGTCTGAGTGGTTTTGAAGCAGCTGAAATTCCATGACTTACTCCAATAATGTAAAAGATAGTGGTGAGTTAACCGTATTCAGGTATCTAAGATTAAGGCCTCTCCCCTTGTGGCTGCTGTGACTGAAAAACTATTGTTTTCAGGGACTAAGAAATGATTCTGTAGCCTAAGAGTGAGGATTATCCTAAACCTTGAAAACAACACTGCAGTTTATCACCTCATAAACCAGACTGAGGGTTTCATCTGTGTTTATACTGGGGCAGGGAATGTCTGAGTTCCAAGTGTCAAAGTTCTGAGCCAGCCAGCTACCTGCCTCTATGCTAGGTCAATTAATCATGTCTAAGTAATTCAAGTATGGGTAGTCTTGGTAACTACAGGTGGGCTTTGTTGTTGTTCAGGTGACCTAGCTCTTTAGTAACTGTGGCACCTATATTGCCTAAGCAATCCCATCCCAACCCACCATGCGAGGGGACTTTGGCAAGCTGTTGTAATCCATGCTTATTTGATGCCAGGTCTGTAAGCAAAAGTTGTGGCTAGGAATACAAAGGGGTGGTGGTGGGTCAGAGCAGTAGAGCAGTGATAGCTTTAAATGTAAATGTTGCTGTTCTACCAACAATCAAAGTACATTCTCACATTCATGCTGTCTTTACAAGAAAATGAGGAGCTATGAGCTCAAATGTTGGCTAGGCCATAAGGAATAAGATCACTTTCTGCTCTTTTCATGAAGTGCAGGTTTTGCATGTTGTCCTAGTGGAAGAGTCTGACTTTAACTGCAAAACCACTCTAGCTTCCCTCACATTACCTGCTCCAGATACCCATGTGCTGCTGCTGACCCACAACTCCTAGGCATCTAAAATGACCTGCTTCAAATCTTCTGGTATAATATACTATCTTGCAACTAACAGAATTAGTGCCAGGATATACCTTTGACAAAGATTCTAGATAGCACAGAGGCATCCATGTAATTCACAGGACTGAAGAAGAGTGAGCATCACCCACATTGTAAGTCACACTAAGCAGAGAGCAGGCATAAAAGGCTAATTTAAGCTTTGAAAAGCTCTATAATCTCACATTTTAGAAAGTGAACTTGTGTATTACCACATTCAGGATGGAAAGCTTTTTTGCGATGTGCCCCCAGAGATAACCAATAAGCAGCTTAATCATTCTACTCATTTATTGTATTCTGGAGCTTCTTTCAAAGCCAACCTGTTATGAAAAAAAATGTTGATCATAGGTTGGTTGTCCTTACCCACTTATGCAGGTTTCTGTTAGGATGAAGTCAACCTGGACAGCAGCACCCATCCCCTGTAACAAGTACCGGTTTCAAGTGTGCTTTTGCTCATCTTTCTGTGGATTATGCTGTAGAGTACCTGGCTGCTGTTCTCCTACAACGCAGAAGTCTGTTAAAGGAGGGGAAGAGCATTTCCATCTTTGGACTTTGAAATTATCTTTTCATCTTCTTGTGCATATCTCCTCTTAGAAGTGGTGCTTTGAGTAAGTAAAAATCTCTTCAGTGATATAACTTAGCTGCCTTTATTTGAACTCTGTTGGTGTATTTTGAGAATGAAACTAAGGTATTGGGCAGTCTCTGGGCAGTCTGTGAGCTGCATAGTAATGCATAGGATAGAAACATCTTCAAGTACATCTTCAAGCAACAGAGTTGAAATGATATGTTGTTTTAGGGATACCTTCTGTTGTCACAACTGCAGCCATTTTATAACATAGTAATTTTTCTTTCCAATCCTAAGCAGTGATACTCCATTCTTGAGAATATGCTGTCCGAGAATAAGAACAGTCTCAGGATCAGTTACTCGAATCCCATTTATTGAAACGCCACCATCTGTAATTTTCTGGTACCTTGAAAAACAAACAAAACAACAAACAAAAACCAACAACTTGTAATTGGAAGCAGCAGCTATTTATTGCTGTTAAGTATTGAAAGTTCAGTTAGGGGTTTTTTGGATGGACCCATAATGGAATAAATTCTAATTCTCTTGCACTTTCAGTCTGGGTCAAGAGTCACTGAAATTAACAGCTTCTACCACTCCCACTCTGAGAAGTATAAGGAAACTAAGGCTGTCACCTTAGACTGCCCCTTCATCAGGTGTAGACATTACAGCTAGGGTACATAAGACTGCATTATTCTACACCTTCACTTCAAATGGAATGAGGCCACCTGCTCCGCACTTCTTTAATGCTGGTATGTATATGCAAGCCTGTTTCTACTTGATTTGGCTGTTCTCATCATTTAACTTCCGTAAGCATGCCACTACAACCAGGTTTAAGAGAGGTACTGCCAAACAGCACAGGTGATAACATACCCACTAGGTCCATCTGGAATGGCATTTGCTTTTCGACACAAGTCAAGAATATTCATTCCAGGTTCAAGCATCAATTCAGCTGAAGGAGTTTGTCTGAAAAGTTCCTGTAACTCTTGGTCAGACATAGCTTCCAATGCCTCCACACTGCTATAATAAAGGGCCTTAGTGCACCTGTAAGAACAAAGATCATTCAAAATACACTTCTAGTCTCATCTTCACACAAAGTGCTACTCAACTAATCAGATTTCCCTCCCCAGTTTCTGAGTGTCTACACAGTAACAGAAGTACTTAAAGTACACCCCAGGTTTTTTTCTATCATAACCCACTATACTAATTTATTTTATTTTAAGTCTACAGAATTACTTCATTTTTATATTTTAACAGCTAGGCAACAATTAACTACATGGAAATAGTCCCTGAAAAGCTATGGATAATTACATTGAATAAATCTGAAATAAAACTGCTCAACAAATCAAACTTCACCTCTTAGCAGATTCTAGCCCCTCTCTACCATGAACAAGCTTGGTTACTTCCGCAGCAAGTCGTTTCTGAGGGCCCCATTTTTCAGGTTCTTTAGCATGCATTTCCATGATGTGGTCAATCTCCTCAAGAGGAATGAAGGTGAAGAGTTTCAAGTATCTACGAGCAGGGAATAAAATACTTTGTCTATACAGCCATCATTACAAATTTCCCACCTTCGTCATTCAAACTTCATCAACTACTCTAAAATGATTCTTAGTCAATTTAAGAAATCGGTATTACAGATACTCTCTTCTTTCAAACTCCTCTTTGATTTTGCTCACATGCTTCAGCTTACCTGGATAACTCACATTTTATTTAATATTCTGCCCAGGGTGATGTCTTCAGACATAAGATAGTGTCAGATGCCTTTATGAAGCTTGCATCACAATCAACAACTTTTTTTTTTCTTGAAATATTTACAGAATTTATTGTAATTGTGTGTCAACTAACAAGAGTTTTTTTATATTCTTAGTAGTTGCACAATAGGCTAATGCAAAATACCACTGCCAGTCTGTGGTGATTGTGGGACAAACAAATGCTATGTATTGACAAGTATCTCAACAAGATTATGTAGGATAATCAAGAATTTAAAGATATGTATCTAAGCATACTCTTTACAACAAAGTCCATTTTAATGGACTTGCAGTACCATGAAATGCAGTGTATTTAAAAAAAGGTACTTTTACTGTTAAAAAGTCTGAATGCGTGAAATATTTTAATGTTAAATACCCACACAGGGATCTTTTCAGTCTGGAAAGTGCTGTGGATGGAGAACCTAGATTTGAAGTATCAGGGAATAAATATTTAAAGAGGCAACCAAGTTATGAGACAGGTCACAATATGAAATGGAAGTACCTGTCTGAGGCTTATGAAGATTCAGATTTGGCAGTGATAGTGAAATTTAAAGAAAAATAGATTTAAAAGAGAGAATATTGCAACTTACTAAGTTAATGGAATACCCTGAATAAAGCTACTGGCTATTTATTTTCAGCCATGACACTGGCACACCAGCATGGAGGCTAGCCATCAATGAGGAAAACCTGTCAAATGTATTTCTCTTATTTTTCCAACCTTTTCATGTTGTCATTATATGATTTTAGTATTTTTACACTAGTCAGTAAGAATACGAGTTTTGTGTGGTTGATAAGGATTCAGAGACATTCACAGTACCATGTTTTGCTCATTGGAATTGCTCCAATTAACAATCAGAATTTTGTCTTTGTACATGCTACAGCTTTAAGCACTAGTTGGACTACTTCTGAGTTTTGGTGCATTACAGTCTCATCTGCTTTACAGAACAATCCATTTGCCATTATAACTGTAAGCAGAAATGTTTCCTTCCACATTCCAAGATGAAAAAGACAACAGTTAACTTCAATGAAACCCTCAAACACTAGAGTCAGAATGATGCAAATTGTTCTCTATTTGCAATTTTCAAAAAGATCCACTAAAATTTCCATGCAAGTTATATGAAAAGAACATCAAACAGCCTTAAGGTTTCACCATGTTAGTACTATTGGTCATTTACAGAACAAACACTTGTCCCATCAGCTAAACATTTTTAATTAATGCTTAATTGTGTTATGGTACATGGATAGGAACAGATTATATGTTTGTCCAGAGGTGGGCATGACACATTTTTACCAGTTACACTACTGAACTATAGCCTAGGGTGCTAATTACTAGCTCTGAAGAGGTACATGCAACTAGGAATTTGACCAGGTATGTGAATTTTGTTCATTCTAGCTTTCTCCTCTGACTTGTATTTTCAACAATGACTTCAAACTGTTGCCTGAAAACCTCTAAAATCCTTGTATACTACCTTATATACTGCCTGCCATGAGCTTAAAATGGTTTAAATTTCTCCTTTTAACTGCACTACTACCACAACGTATCTGTTTCCTAGGTGTGTTTTTATGGTCTCCAAAGTGGGGTGCCAGCATCCCAGGATGTATGAAAGATGATCCACTGGAGTGTCCAAAGAAAATATTAGAACTTCAGTAGTACACTTACATAATCTATAAAAAAAATAAATATACATGTATTGGGAGTGAATGCTCAACATTTTTTTACTGATAGGGGCATGTGATCAAAAAAATTTGGAGACCACCAATCTAGAGTTAATACAATCATAAATATGAAGTTGGCTTTTTCTTAACAAGGCACTATTTCAATTTGCTTAGGGATATGCAGTTTTTAATGTGATGCAGTTTTAGAAACTGAACTTTACGTGTTTGTTTACAATCAGTTAAGTAGCTTCTTGCGATTAGAACATGGTGTTCCTGAATACCTCATACTAAGTAAAACCTTGTAGTAAATAATATCTGTTAAACTTATTGCTTATTAATCAGGAGATTATTTCATTTGATACTGTGATGTTACAGTACTTAAACTAACGTACCTCATAAGACAAAGTCACCCCACCGGCAGAACAAAATGTGTTATGCTTTACTTGTTCATCTACATTCTAATGTTATGATGTATATGCCAGCATATGGAGACAGGTTCCACTACTGTGTATACGTAGGAGTCAGTCATGCCTGTTTATTTAACGGACGTACAGTTATAATTAACTGATACTTCTACACGGAGCTTGTGTTGCACATATCCCCACAAAACAGTTACAGAGAACAGTTAGGATCAGGTTTTATAAACAATAGCAAAAAAAGATGGAAGAAAAACTACTTACTTTTCAACTATGTTATCATGTTGTCTGACAAAAAATTGATATAGCTCAAATGGAGAAGTCTTATCTCTGTTCAGCCAAACTGCATTGCCAGCTGTCTTTCCCAGTTTATCTCCAGTAGTACTGGTAATAAGAGGTACAGTAATTCCAAACACATCTGTTCCGGTCATCCTGAGAAAGAGATGATTAACTGCATGTTAAAAAAAAAAAAAAAAAATCACATCTTGGTAAAGTTGCCCAAAATATTAGTATTCTGTAAGTTTCTATCCCTGATATAAAGCAGTTAAATGGGGGGGTGACAGAACACTGTTTTGTGAGGGGTACTTTAAGAAACAGCCAAGCCCTCGAACATAAAAATGTAAGTTCTTTTGTGTGTAACAGTTTACATACTTTAAATAAGAGTACTTTCATGGGCAACAGCACTAGCAAATTCAAGTGTCCTGAACATTCTGTGTTCTGCTGAGTACTAATTGAAGCTGTCTGTGTGGCTGGGACGTTTGTAAGGCTTTTCTTCTGTGCTGATTCTCTGGTGTCTTGTAATAGCCAGCACGTACTGAAGTAGAGGCGTTGACATGTGCTCACTGATTTGCTTGCATACTTATGGGAATTTTATAAGACTCACACTGAATTTGATGGCTAGGCAAAAGATCATCATCATCAGGTTTAATTCTGAGCGAAGAAATGCAACCACCTTTACCAATATACCACATCTGCCTCTCCTTCGGTGTGACTGCACCAGCGTGCGTTTGCCAGAAGAACATTTATCTCGATTTTGTCCCACGTTTCAGGATACCTGATTTGGGACCTTGGGCAAACACATTCACTAAAACAAGGGCCTATCCCTTTTGCTGAAAATTCATTAACGTTTCATGGAAAAAGGCTCAAAACCATGGCCAAAATGTACGCACGTGCCAGGCTCGTGGTCAGAACAACGAATTATTCTCCTCAAACCCCAGAGTTTTGCCTAATGCCCGCCTCCCGGGGCCACGTCTGCTCCTGGTGCTCCAGTGACTGCCAACGCGGCCTCACACCGCGTTAGGACCCGCGATGCCCGGCGCACCGCCACCGCTGCCCGCCCGGGGGCCGAACGGGGGGCCCCGCGGTGCCCGCCCGCCCTCCGCCCCGCCCGGCCCCTCCGTACTTGGTGACGAGCTCGTAGCCGGACATGATGTTGCCCATCTGGTCGGCGCCGCCC